GCTCTTCTTTCATTCTCCATAACCCACACATGAGTCCAGTGTCTCGACCTCTGCATGACAGACATTTTGGGCCCTATTCTTGGATAGGGACTGTGCTGTGCATTATGGGATGTTTTGTAGCATCTCTGGGCTCTACCCAGTGACAGCACCACCTGCTCCAGTCATGAGAAGCAAAAATATCTCCAGACATCACCAGAGGTCCCTAAGTTGAGAGCTACTGATATAAACTGTTTAGTTTTTTTGTTTGTGTGTGTGTGTGTGTGTGTGTGTTTGTTTGTTGAGACAGGGTTTCACTACGTAGTTCACCCTGGCCTTGAACTCACTTTGTAGCCCAGGCTGGCCTCAAACTTGCAATGATCCTCCTGCTTCAGCTTCTCATGTGCTGGGATTACAGATCTGCTCCACCACACCTGGCTCACAATGTGATCTGCAAGGATGAGATCGAAGCAACATACGTTTGTGTAGTTTTCAGTTTTCAGATTCACGTAGATCAGTGTAAAATGATAACCTGGCCTGTGTGAGTTTTCCTGGTGGAAGGGCGCCCTTCCATCCTGGAATGTCACCCCTGGTGCCCTGCATGTAGTGAGTGGCCCGTGTCCAGTCACACCCTCCAAACTGCAAAGATGTCATCCCCTGGCCAGGTATAGCATCAATAACACCCAGAGGATCTAGCTGAAGGCAAACAAAATGTTTACAGTGCTTTCTCTAAGTACGTACTTCACTTTCCTCCTGAAAGGAGAAAAATTTCCAGACCTACGAGCAATGATATTGCATGGTCTGGTAGGAAAACATCGGTGACGGGTGTGCGCTGGGGACCCACAGGGTTACTCCCCAGCAGAGTGGCTTTCTGGTGAGGGGAGTTTGTTTCTAACCCCTTGCATCTCCCTGGTTCTCCCAGTTTTTAGAACATCCTCTTTCTCAGCTGAGTTACATAATCTGACTTTCAGAAATCAACTTTTTTTTGAGCTGTGTCTTACGGAAAAAGCATTATAAGTTTCCACCTTAAAATAAATCTCAATAAAAACTGTAAAACCAAAACAACTAAAGCATCTGCCATCTGCCAAAGGCATTGTCCACGTTATACCTTTTACAGTGCAAGTGCCAGGGACATTTCACCCAGAAGACAGAGGGACTCAGTAGCTATTTTAACCTGAACGAATTTTCTCCAGTGTTCAGGAATGCTTACACATCCAGCGGAGCTAGCGGACCCCCTCCCAGCCTAGGAATAATGTTAGTTCCTGCAGCAGCTCCTCTGCTGTGGCAGTGAGTGTAGGCAGGGGTCCACCTTGGCCAACCAGCACAATTTCTGTTTGTAAGGCACCGATTTGGTCTTATAATTTGCAATAAATGTTTACTGCTGAACTCAACATGATCTTGGGTAAGGGGAGGAGACTATAAGCTATTGCAGATGTCCTTAGTGGGGATGATGAGATTTCCGCTTCAGCTCAGTAGCATTCCTGTCCTTAAGCCTACTGAAGCAATTTCGATGGCTAAATTGTATTTGTGATGCTGAGGGCTGAACTTTTCTACCAAGACTATAGTGTGTTTGCAAGCGCTTTTCCCAGGCTGGGCATTTCTGTGCAAACTGTCCTGTGTGCAAGACAGAAAAGGGGTCTGAAGCTATGCGGGGAAGTATTCTGAGGCTTATAAAACAAAGCCCATGTCAGAAAGTGGGTCCTTGGCTTCGGTGATGTGAGCCTCCACGAAATCACTGCTAAGGAGCTTCCTGATGTTGCATTTTCTGCAGGCATTAGATGGCTTCATCATCGCAGTGACGACAGACGGCAGCATCCTGTACGTCTCTGACAGCATCACACCGCTCCTCGGGCACTTGCCGGTGAGTTGCTGCTCTGGTGGCTTTTGCTGTGCACGTTGTCATCTTTCCCTGGAGTCCTTTAGGTGGGAGGTGCTGCAGAGGGAGGCGCACGGAGCCAGGAGTCCGGGGGGACCAGACGGGGCCGGGCTCAGGGTCTCTGATGAAGGGCAGGTGCAGCTCTGTGTCACCCGGGAACGGGCATGAAAGACACCATGATCTCAGCAAGGCCAGGCCCGGAGTAGGGACTGGGGCACAGCCTGTCATCTCGGCATGAGTGTCACAGCACAGCAGAACTCAGAGCACCCCAGACATCCCAGGGCAGCTGAGAGGGGACCCGAGGACAGGGCAAGAGATGGCTCATCTCTTGGGGTGATGAGGTGAGTCGGGGGTCCCCCGGAGCCATGTCTGAGGTCGCAGGTAGGTTGTGATGCTTGATGGTGGTATGCTTTGGCAGCGGGGACAACCCCTGGGGACACACTGAGGGGCCTGTGTCTTGGAAGAGCGTGTGGGGAGAGGGTTTGGGCAGACGGCAGGAGAGGCAGCTCTGCAGCCAGGGTGGGCCCTGGATCGGGCGGCTGGAGGTGTCACAGGCCCTGGCAGACAAGTGTCCCTCCCCACTCATCCCGCCCTTCCTCCTGCCTTCCTTCCTCCTCTTCACTCTCTCCGTCCCGGCCTTACCCTTCTCTGCGTACACCCTGCTGGCTCCTGGGTCACCTCCAGCTCGCAGATCCACAGCAGGACCACAGAGGACCCACCTCTGGGCGTCCCTCATGGGCCCTCCCCCGCCTTCTGTGTCCTGCCCCTGCCGGTCCATCCTGTATTCCCACAGCCCCTGACACCCCCACTCCCAGGAGCAGCATGTGCAGATGTGGGATAAACAGCCGTCTCCTCTCTCTCGGGCGCCGGGGTGCAGCTCGAACGCAGCTCAGCCGCTCCGCCTCTGTTTCAGTTCGTACTGACTCATTCCCCAGTGTGAGCCCAGGACCTCTCCACAGAGCAAACAGCATTCAAGGCCCTTGGGGGCTGGTGCCAGCCTGTAATCCCAGCTCTCCAGAAGGCTGAGACAGGAGGATGGCAAATTGGAGCCCAGCCTGGGCAATTTAGCAACTTCATGAGCCTTTGTCTTATAATAAAGAATTAAAAATGGCTGAGGATGTAGCTCATTGTGAAAGCCCAGGATCCGATCCCCAGTGCCAAAAAAAAAAAAAAAAAAAAAAAAACAGAGAGCTTGCCTTTCCTTCCTGGCTTTCAGGTTTTTTTGAACCTCCACCCATTGGACCACTAAGCACTGGTATTTATTTACCTAGCACTTTCCGTGCGCCAGGCACCACTAGGGGGCGCAGCCACCACTAGGGGGCGCGGCCACCTGTTAGTGAGCATGAAGGCCAGGACAGGTGGCTGGCAGAGTAGGGCCGGGCCACATTTGCCCTCCTGTTGACCTTCACCATGACCCCTGTCACAGGTGAGGAAGCGGCAGCCAGCACAGAGAGGTAGCCTCCTTCACCCAAGATTGCACAGCCAACAGGGCCGGGGCCGCAGTCTGAACTCAGTCACCGGGGCTCCGGAGCTTGGTCCTCAGCTCCACACAGAATTCTCCAGGAGACAGGAGGCAGGAAGGACCAGACTGTGGGCGACAGGAAGCAGGGGCTGGAAGCCAGTGGGCAGGCTGTGTGGACGGGGCCACTGGGGAGACCTCGGGACCAGTGCAGACGGGACAGGCAGCCCCTGTGGGTCCCAGCTGCAAGGCCTGTGGGAGTCCCACCCCGCACAGGGCCTGCCGTCTGCAGGGCTGGCAGGGTGTGGCAGCCTGAGGTCCCCTTCCTGGCCAGTGCAGGAATCTCAGACAGGATGGGCACTTGAGGGGCAGCCTTTGGCACGGCGATGTCCCTTCCGATGAAATCTCCCAACATTTCTGCTAGTTTGACAGAAAAGAAAGAAAGGTAGCTCGAAGTGGAACGTGATTTTACGATCAAGTCCGCACCGTTCCCCGGCGCCGTCCCAGCGCTGCCAGCCTCTCTCAGCATCTGCAGCCGACTCAGGCCGTCGAGGCAGGAGGATCGTGAGGGGCACGTGTTTCCAGAGGCCACAGGCTCGACACACAGTGAAAGTGAGAAACAGGCGCATGGATGACCCAGTCTCCCCAGAAGGAAGTAACGTAAGGCACAAGCTTTTACAGAGCGGGAGAGACTGGCAGGCTTCAGGGTGCGTCTATGGCAGAGCCCTGGAAAGCTCCCTCAGGGAGAAAGAACACCACACGGGATATAGGGCCAAGTTCCCCAGCAGGGACAAGCAGGGAACAGGTCACAGAAAAGAGAAGATAGAGTCCCTGGCCATAAAATGCAGAGCTGGGTGTGGTGGTGCACACCTGCAATCCCAGCATTCAGGAGGCTGAAGCAGGAGGATCACTGTGAGTTTGAGACCAGCCTGGGCTATGTAGTGAATTCAAGGTCAGCATGAACAACAAAGGGAGACCTTGTCTCAAAAAACAAAACAAAACAAAACAAAACAAGCCTAGCCTGCCTCCACTGTTGAGGACCCCACCTGGTCCAGGTGTTTCTCAGGTGGCTCCAGAGCAGGGCATGCCCAGCAGGTGTGCATCGTGGGTTAGAAGAGTCTAGGTCAGGTCTCTGTATTTATACAAAACTTTTTATGCTTTCTGATTTTTATATGCATACATACAGATGTGCGCTTAAAACATATGCCCAGTATTTAACTTAACGGCTGAGCTAGAACAAGTGGGCAAATCATCGCGGTGGTTAAGAACTAGAACAGGGCCAGGCCAGGCGTGGTGGCACACACTTCTACCCACAGCACTCTGGGAGGCCGAGGCAGGAAGATGGCAAGTTTGAGCCCCGCACCTGGGCAACTTAGTGCCCCATCTCAAAATTTAAAAAGAGCAGGAGTGTGTCTCAGTACAAAGGCCTTAAGTTCAGTCCCAGGGTGGAAAAAAAAAAAAAGGAAAGAAAAAAAAAAAACCAGGGCCAAGACCACAGAAGCTCCATTGCTTCTTTCCCATCACCTTCAGCTTCCACGCATGTGCCACCAACAGACCGGGTCTGTTTTCCTGATTTTTAAAACTGTCTTTGTAGTTTTACCAACTTTGAATTAATCACTAAGCTATAATTAGGAGATAAGTATCCCTTATGCAAAATGCTTTGAACCAGACGTGTTTTGGATTTGGGATATTCCAGCTATTGGAATGTTTGCATATATTTACATATGCTTAGGTATTTGCATAATGAGCTACCTTCAGGATGGCACCCAAGTCTCAACACAAAATGCATTTATGTTTCCTGTACACCTTACAGGCACAGACTGAAGGTAACTTTGTACAATATTTTTAAGAGTTTTGCGCATGAAAGAGCTTCCTGCCGTGGAATTTTCCACTTGTAGCATCAGGCCAGCCTCCAGCAGCTTTGGATGGTGGATGTCTGCATTACAGACGCTTTGCCTGCACTGCCCCTTGCCTGACACCACGGAAGTCCTCTTCCGTAGTGGAGACAGACTCGAGACTACTCCTTGTGCTCCGTGCCGCGGTCCCAGGTTCTGTCACAGCGCGGTGTTCTCGTACCTCGGATTCCACCGCAGCAATGTGCTACCATCCCTGCACCTGTTGCAGGGGGGACCTGGGAAAGTGCTGCCGCATCCATCTGCCTTCCTGATGGGTGGTACCAGCATCCCCCAGCGAGCCGCCTCCAGAGAGCACCGGCCCCGCAGGGATGTTCCAGGACTGAGTGTCCACCCGATGCCCCGCTCCTGTGTGCCCTCTGTGTGTGGGGGAAGGATGCGGGCACTGAAAATCGAACCCAAGCTGTCTCCCTGAGCTATGTCTCCAGCCCTTTTTTATTTTTTAGGTTGAGATAGGGTCTCTCTAAATTGCCCAGGTTGAGCTCAAACTTGCTATCCTCCTGCCTCAGCTTCCCAGAGTGCTGGGATGACAGACATGCACCACTGCACCCAGCCTTCCAGCTGCTTCTGTGAAGCCCCCTCACCTGCTGGTGCCCTTGAGCTGGTGTTGCTAGTTCAAGGCAGAGGCTTCCAGTCCTACTGCAGCAGAGCTTCTGCCCAGGGACCCAAGGCTTCACATGGGGGAAACACGAAGGGACGGGTGTGGAATGCAGGCCGGGCTTCCTGGCCAGCTCAGCAAAGGGCTAACTCTGCCTACTGCAGCCTGGGACAGGTCGGGGGAGGGCCTCCTCCTGCAGCTGCAACAGGTAATCGAGGCTGCTGATAATGTGATACAGCTGCTGCAGGTGGCACCGCCCTGCCCCCCTGCCCCTAATTGCTATTATTTTAATCAACAGAGCTCAGCTCATTCAAGGAAGAGTTCAGCTGCAGATGTAATTTACCCTCCGATCAGCACTAGGGTTTAAATTGTCAACTTGTCACTGTTTGTGGCAATTTTCAGTACATGGAAATGGCATAGTAGTCATACCAGAGCCAAGCACAGTTCTGGGCCCTGTGGATTAACCCACCTGCCTACGGCTGCCCCCAAGAGCCACCAGGCCAAGGGGCCCCCAGCCTCATCCCCTGCTGCACCCCCTGGGGAAGCAGCCTCCAGTGGAAGCCTGAAAGAAAAGACCATGAGCGACTTAGTTATCATTCCAAAGTGTCTGAAAGCTCTTTAAGAAGAAAGCCGACTGTCATCCGTGAACATTAGTCATGTGCTAAAAAAGCTAGAGGGAACGGGCTTAAAATAAAATCAAGAACTCGGAAGGAAGGTAGAGAAGCAGGCTGAGCGATGACAGCATAGACTTAGGGAGGGCTTGGTAGGGCTGCTGTCCATGGAGATAAAACTGGAGCCACCCGTCTAAACCGTCCTTGGGCCTTCCTTTCCTCCCCCCGCCTTCCAGTCACTGCCTGCTGTGTCCAAGTCCTCATTCACTGAGATGCTGAGGCCAGGAGTGCAGGGGCTTTGCCAGCTCTGTGGTGCCCAAACAGTGCCTGGCACCTCTGTGCCCTCCCTGTGTGGTACTGGTTGGAGTAGGGCCATGAGTGAGTGCTTTGGGCTCTATCCTTGTCTGAGTCACTTTCTCTTCTCTGGGACAAAACACCCACAACAAAAAGGAAGAGAGGTCTATTTCGGCTCACAGTTGTAGAGGTTCAGTCCATGGTCACCTGGCTCCGAGCAGGGTGGTGTTACAGAAGGGGATGACGGGAAAGAAGCTGCTGATGCCGCAGCAGCAGGGAGCAGGGAGAGAAGGGAACAGCGGGAGGGAGATGACCCTTTCAGGTCTCACCCCAGTGACCACCTCTTCAGCCAAACTCCACTTCCCAATGGCAAGCCAGCTTTAAACCCCCATAATGCAGTCAGTGTGAACAAGACAATCAGGGAAGGGATGGAGAGAGGGCAGTTATAGTTTCTGTCTAGATGTCCCCCCAAGCCTCATGTCCCCCTAAGTGGGGCTCTTGGGATGGGCAGATTGTCCCAGGTGAGCGGGGATGTGACCCGGCACGGGCAGAGCCGTGGCAATAGACAGGAGAGTCAGAGGGGGAGAGCCAGGTGATGTGTGGACGCTGTTGGGGGCAGAGGTCCAGCTGTGAGAGGGAGGAGCCGAGGGTGCCACCTGGGGGTGCATGTGGGGCGTGGCCAGGTGACCCATGGGCGATGCCAGGTTGACAGATGGGAAGCCAGGCTGGGGACAGGGTGTACGTGGGGCCAAGCGATGACCGAGGGGACGTGTGTGACTCTGAGCGGCAGCTGGAGGGTCGAGCCCAGGTGTCGGGTGTTCACAGGTGGCATCTGAAGCTTGAGGGGAGGCGTAAGACTGCTGAGGGAAACTGAGCCAGGGCGAGATGTGCCTGGCTCCCCACTCCATGGTGAGCGCCTCCCTGCCCGCTCCACTGTGGTAGCTGCCAGCCACACGTGGCTATTCAGATTTCAGTGAACATTAAATGAAATGGCAACTTCAGTTCTTCCGCGGCCACGTGCCGGCGGCCCCTGCATGGCGCAGACTGAGCCATCTCCCTCCTCTCGCCAGGTCTGTTCCCAGACTCTGCCTTTCAGGTATCTGGTATACCAGCGTCCAGGCGCTGAGGGGAAAAGGGCAACTCCACCCATTAGCGATGTCTAAGAAGTCGGTGGATGCTCTGTGCCACCCTGAAGGTCCAGGAAGGGACCTGTGGATGTTTGGGCCATTTGAATGAGTGACTGGCGACTCCGGGGTCAGATGACCCTCACCCTCGCTGCCCTGCAGAAATGCAGAGTGTTGGTAAACAAGGCTCCTCCAGCAAGAGGGTTCTCTGCTGTCTTGTGCCTAGCGGGCTCGGCCCTGAGTTCTTGGAAGCATCTGAGCAAATGCAGGGGACCCTCTGTGTCCGCTGGGCCCCCCAGCCAGGGACTCAACGAACTACAGACTAAAAATGTTTGGAAAAAAATTGCATGCATGCTGGACACATCTAAATGTTTTTCTTGTCATCCCCTAAACAGTAAAGTGTAAGAGCTATTAAGAGCATTCGTTACATTGCAGTGAGGATTCGAATCTGAGGTCTGCGAGAGGACTGCATAGGTTCCATGAAAATTCTGCACTGTCTTTTTAGGAGACTTGTGTGTCCATGGACTTCAGTGCCCACAGGAGGACGCCAGGGACAACTCTATACTTCTGTCTTACTGACTTATCTCGTGGTGCTAGGGATGGGACCCAGGGCCTCGTGCATGCTACACAAATTCTCTGCCACAGCCGCAGCCCCGGAAAACCGTTTAGATTTCAATCCAGGAGTCTCCCCACGGGCATTCGGATCTTAGGCTTCCTGTTTCAGGAACGAGTTCTAAACTTTCAAGAACATCCAGGTTTTCCCCTTACTTCTATCTGTCATTTCCATGGAGTGTGCACTTTTGTTCTTTATTTTCTTTTGCAGTCGGATGTCATGGATCAGAATTTGTTAAATTTCCTCCCGGAACAAGAACATTCCGAAGTTTATAAAATGCTTTCTTCTCATATGCTTCTGACGGAGTCCCCCTCCCCAGAGTTCCTAAAATGTAAGTTGCATGTTGCTGGGTTTACCAGATCTAAAAAGATAAAGAGTTTTACTTCTGAAAGGAAGCTAGGATGAATTAAGCAGGGCGGACTAATTTTCCTCATGACTCAGAATATTTCCAACATCCTCTGAGCTGTATTTTAGGTTTAGAGCTAAAACTGGAGTTTGGAATACGTAAGACATTCAGCTTTTCTTTGGAAAATTTGAAAGCATAGAGCTCAAGGATAATAACTTGTTTTGCATGTATGACAAGAGAATCTTTTTTTTCTATGTGAGTCTTTTAGTAAAAAATGGTAGGAGAGTCAGAGAAAAAAAAATTTGCTATTTCAGGGGACACTAAAATGCTAAGTTTGTATAATACCAAGTAACCAACTGGTGATTGAATAATCAGGTCAGAAATTCAAATTCTGTCCTCCTGAGGCTGTCATCTGGTTATTTATATTCCTTTTCACTTGTATGGGCTCTTAAAGTTTTTATCAAAATATTTGGTGACCTGGAGAGCAGGCAGCCTTTGTGTCAGGAACTGCACCACTTAATGAAGCAGGCAGAGTTGCATGCGGTAGCAAGGACGCCGGGCTTTTTGCAGGCCTCAGTCTATTTTCCATGAATAATTTGCCCTGTCATACATCTGATTTTACTTCAGAGGAAAGCCAAAGGATTAAATTAAAGAGAATGGCTCTGTATGAGCAGCTTTATTTTAATATAGCATATGAAACAACCGGAACTCATCAATGCCGGCATCACCCACCGCAGACATCTGTGAGCAAATTAAGACTAATTGGGTCCAAGTATAGAATGCAGAATATGTATGAGCTGTGGAAGGAAAAAAACCGCACTGCAAAGGTTAGAAGCCAGGTTCGGAAGTCGGTCGTAATGAGAGAAATACTCGGGCCAGGCCCGGGCTCGGCCCCCAGGGTCTGCAGGGGGAGCCTTGTTTAGTCTGCAGTCTGGGTAACCTCGTCTCCTTTCTCTCCTCTTCTTCCTGTAACGGCCCAGCGGACAACGACTTAGAGTTTTATTGCCATCTTCTCAGAGGCAGCTTGAACCCAAAGGAATTTCCAACTTATGAATACATAAAATTTGTAGGAAATTTTCGCTCTTACAACAATGGTAAGCTTCAATTGTCCTGTAATTGCGATGGTGTCTTTTATCATGCAAACGTGTACTTGAGGACGCAAGAATCAGCCAGGGAGGGGTCAGAGGGGGAATCCGCTTTCCGTATTTGTGTTTGGATTTTCCTGTTCCCCAGATGTGTTTGCCGTGCTCCTCCCCGCACTCTCGTTCAGGGAGCACGCACTCCCACACCTGTTTCTGCGGGTGTGCACGGCCCCCCAACTGCGTGTGACTCGCTTATTTTCAAGCTGATGAAATAACTCTACTGTGAGAAACAACTTACAGCTAATCAAAAACAGGCTCAGCCGACACCCTGCCAAAGAGGCCTTCACGGTGATATGGAACTCTATAACCTTGCTTCCTTTTGTTTGTTTGGTTGGGTTTTGTTCCTTTGTTTGTTCTCTTGAGACAAGGTCTTGCTAGGCAGTTCCAGCTGTCCTCGGACTCACTGTGTAGCCCAGGCTGGCCTCAAACTCACAGCAATGCTCCTGCCTCAGCCTGGTGCTGGGATTACAGGCGTGGGCCACCACGCCCACCCAGAACCTTGTTTTCTGCATTATCTCGTCTTTCCGGTGCCGCTGCAGGGGCGCTGTGCTAGGCCTGGCTTGTGGATCTTCGGCTTAGTGTGCAACCTACTGCACTGTGTAGGGCTGTTTTACCAGGCGCCTGAGGGCTGCATTGGCTCCGGGATCCCGGGATCCCACAGGAGACGCAGGCAGCGAAGTCTTCTCAGAAATTACAGTTAACTAGTTGTCCAAACCCTGACTGCAGAAGCATGAACTCTAAACTAGACTTCAGCGTTCGTTTTTACCTTTCACGCCTGCCAAGGGACGCGCAGTACTAATGCCAGGAATCCGGAAACCAGTCCCATTGCGGCCCAGCGCAGAAAGCCTGCATTTTGTTTACTGCATTCCTCAAAACTCAACTCAAAACAAACAGCTTTGACAGAGCTAAAGCAGCAAAGATAGGAGAAAATAAAAGAAAGTGTTGACAGGGAATGGGGAGAGGAGAGAAGAGGGGGAAAGAAAAATACCTAAGAAAAACAAAGACCGAAAGCTGAGCTGCAGCAATGAAGGGGAGCGGACGTGATGGCATACACCTGTAATCCCAGCACTCAGGAGGCTGAGGCAGGAGGATCGCTGTGACTTTGAGTCCAGCCTGGGCTACATAGTGAGTTCAAGGCCGGCCTGTGAGACCCTGTCTCAAAATAACCAAAAACCAGAAATGAAGGGGAGGGCAGGTAGGAGAGACGGGAAGCGAGGACAGTACTCATTTCCGCTGCTTTCCTCGCTGGTGTTCCGTTGTGGGCCCTGTGTGTTTGTTATCCAGGCCAAGCAGCCCGACAGCCCACGAGAACCACCCAAAGCGCTGGCCTCACAGTGCTGATGCCAACCCGGATTTTTCCTTCAACCTCAAACGACCCCCTGTGGTGTGTTATTTGCATAAATGCACAGGCTTTGTTTAAATGGCTTCAACTCCATGCTAAATGTTGTGCGCCCACCAGAGTGATGTTCTTGCTCTGTTCCCCGGGGCTTCTGGCGAGAGTGGGTTCCCTGGCAGACAGACCCTCCCAGGGCTCCAGAGGCCTGAGTGGCAGGAAGGATTAGGGAGCCCGCTTCCCAAAGGGGGCGTCACATCTGGGCAAAGCAAAACAATGCCCAGGTGTGACCACGTCTCATCCCACTCACCCGAAAGGCTTGCCCCAAATTCAGAGACAGACGCTTAACGGACCACACAGAGCAGGGAAGGGTGGCCTCTGGGATGCTCGCCTAGAGAACCTAACCTACGAGGCACCTCATAGAAAACCCAACATCGAGCCAACCCCAGGCAGTGCATGAATTTACATTTCCACAACCCTCCTGTAGACACTGCCGTCTCCTGTAGAATGCAGCAGCTTGCTAAAATTCAGATCCTTGGGCCTTGTCCTGAAGATGCTGAGGCCCAGGAATCTGGGAGTCTGATTCAAGGTGTCGTGGGTTATTATTTGCAGTAGCCATAAAGGTGAAGCAACCCAGGTGCCCATCAGGGGTGAACAGATAAAGGGTGGCATGTCCTTGCGGTGGAATATTACTCAGCCTTGAAAAGGAAAGTGATTCTGACAAGTGCTCCAGCATGGACATGCTTTAAAGAACCTTAAGTTAACTAAAATAAGGCAGGTCTCGTTCTGCTTAGAGGAGGTACCTAGCGTGGCCAAATTCACAGAGACAGAATGGGATTGCCAGAGGCTGGAGAGCGGGAAGTAATTGTTGAATGAGTTTCAGTTCTGTGAGATAAAAAGAGTCCTGAAGCTGGCTGGTGGGGAGAGTTGCAGGATAAGATGAGTCTGTGCAGGACCACTGACCTGGATGAGTAAAAGAGGGCGGGGCCTGGGGGTAGCTCAGGGGTGGAGCTCTCACCCAGCAGCCAGACCCTGGGGAAGGGCTGTGGGCATTATGGGATGTGGCCCCAGGTGTCCCCATGACAACAGCGCACAGCGACAATTCAGAGAACCAACCATGACTGGCCAGTGAGCGGTAGGCGCACCCTGTGGGAATTTACATGTCTGCAGCTGTCCTGCGGAGTGGTCAGATCGTCCCCTGAAGCACCCGTCGCTTGTCCCATCTCCGAGGATTTTAAGGAAACAGGCAGGCTTCGTGTTTTGAATACCTGGGTTTTTTGTGGTTTTTTAACCAACAAGGTCTTATTTTCACTTCCTGTTTGCTTGCTTGGAAGAAGGTGTGGAAATTATGTGTGTGCTTTAAAAGAAAAAAGCATGACTGCTTGACACTCGGCATTAAAAGTAGAAAATGGAAAGCCAAGCAAGTAGTGTGGCAGAAACCGTAATGAGAAGGGCTTTGGTAAATGCAGAGGGGACTACGGGAGTAGGGTAGGCTCTCGGACCCTACAGCAGGGGACGCATCTGGCAGTGGGGGCGCTGCGGCACAGCGGTGAGCCCCGTGTTCCGCTGCTCAGGAAGCTGACTCAGGGAAACATGGCCACTGCATATTCCAAACCCCAAGGAGAGGGTGCTGGCTGTTCTCACCACACAGACGTGATGCACGAACGCAGCGATACGGATACTTACTCTGACGCGGACATTTCAGTGCATGCATGTGCACAGTACTGGGGATTAAACACAGGGCCTTTGCCCTGAGCTACATCCCCAGCCCTTTATGTAATTTCTTGAAACAGTCTTACTAAATTGCCCAGGCTAGGCTCAAACTTGAAGTCCTCCTGCCTCAGCCTCACAGAATGCTGGAATTATAGGCATGCACCACCACGCCTGACTCACACAGCTTTAGTTTGTGTGGTTCTTATGTATCAATTTAAAGAAATGCACAGCCCTAGGGCTGGGAAGAGAAAGGGTGAGACTGAGCCCATGAGGGCTCTGGGTGACCCTGGAAGAGAGGTCAGCATCCACCTATCCACCTGTTCACCTACTGGCCCAGTTAGCTGCGGGGGTTTTCCAGGCTTGGGAAGCAGTGCAGGGGTTGAGCAGTGAGCATTTGCAGGGAGAAGGGGACAGGAGCACCTTTGTCCTTGCCGATGCATTACCCTCTCACATGGGAAGTGTCTGGCTCACCAGGATCACAGCAACTGTTGTCCAAGTAGGACCCCCCGCCCCACTGGACACACTGGTGATGCTTAGGGTGCCATCATTTGCCCCCAACAGTGTAGGGATGGGGACGAGAGAGGAGTCAGAACTTCAGCTCTTTGTTTTTTCAGACAAGATCTCAGGATGTAGTCCAGGATGGCCTCAAACTCACAGTGATCCTCCTGCCTCAGCCTCCTGAGTGCTGGGATTACAGGTGTGTACCACCACACCCGGTTTAACTTTGCCTCTTTGACCTAGAGCTGTAACACACGCGGAGATGTGAGTGCCGGGAGGTGGGGTCAGAAGTGGTCTCTCTCCTAAACACTCGCGTGAGTACAGCATGTGAGTCAGTCCAGGGAGAGCTCCCGGGGCATCCGGGCTACATCCCATCCTTTCTGCGAGACGGTGACTCAGAACAGTGGAAACAGAGAACTTTGTTTAAGATATGCTTGTCCTGTGATGGATATCTTAGGAGGAGGGGGAGGAGGAGAGGAAAGGGGCGGGAAGGAGGGAGAAGAGCACGGAGGTGCTCTTGGACAAATACCCCAGCCCTCTTGTTACATTCCCAATGAGCCGTGGGACCCATGGAGCCTTCGAAACCCCACCCCTAAGTGCCACACAGGCCCCTCACGCTGCGGGCCGAGACCTGGGGGACCAGCAGCCTCTGCTTTCGGGGGTCCTCAGAAGCCAGGCCAGCCCGGAGCAGAGCTCCTGCCTGCACCCTCACGCCTCCCCTGGACTTGGATCTAAGAGTGCGTCCGACTAAGACCCGGAGCGCAGTATTTCAAAAGTGGCTGGTATGGTTCCAAATAGGTCACCCTCGGCAAACATTCCACTCTGGGCGTTCCAGAAACCACACACCAGAGGATAAAAGTTTCCCTGCCCTCGTTTCCCCTACTGGCTCCTAACCACACAGCCAGATTTGTGAGCCTGGCAGAGCAGAGACCTTTCAGCTTTCAACACTGGGTTCCGTGTGTCCCGGGGATTTCTGAAGCTTGCCTCATTCGATGGCTTTGAGGTTCTTGGGTGGTTTTTTGTTTTTTATTGTTTTGCTGGTTTTGTTTTTTTTTTTTTCTATCTTGTTTTTCCCCAGAGCTGAGTTAATTGAGCTGTCTCAGTGACGAGATCGAGGTGCATGCGCACCAGACAGGGAATAGAGACTTGAACTTGCACAGTTGGGGGAAAGAAAGTCTTGTGTGTCCATCTCTAGCCTCCAAGAGAAGGAAACAGAGCATTCGTTCCACACAGTGTCCCCTCCACACAACGTTCCTTCCACACAATGTTCCCTCCACACAGTGTTCCCTCCACACAGCGTCCCCTCCACACAGTGTTCCCTCCACACAGTGTTCCCTCCACACAGCATCCCCTCCACACA